TGTTTACTGTAAACTCCGTAGAGGATAGACATATGATAAAAATGTGTTTAGTTGTACCTGTTCACTGTAAACTCCGTAGAGGATAGACAATGATAAAAATGTGTTTAGTTGTACCTGTTTACTGTAAACTCCGTAGAGGATAGACAATGATAAAAATGTGTTTAGTTGTACCTGTTTACTGTAAACTCCGTAGAGGATAGACAATGATAAAAATGTGTTTAGTTGTACCTGTTTACTGTAAACTCCGTAGAGGATAGACAATGAATAAAATGTGTTTAGTTGTACCTGTTTACTGTAAACTCCGTAGAGGATAGACAATGATAAAAATGTGTTTAGCTGTATCTGTTTACTGTAAACTCCGTAGAGGATAGACAATGATAAAAATGTGTTTAGTTGTACCTGTTCACTGTATGATTATACATATATATATCCGTAGAGGAAACATATATAATATATATATATAGACAATGATAAAAATGTGTTTAGTTGTACCTGTTTACTGTAAACTCCGTAGAGGATAGACAATGATAAAAATGTGTTTAGTTGTATCTGTTTACTGTAAACTCCGTTTTCATTTCTTTCATGGGTATTAGACAAACATGTTTGCGGTAAACAGACAAACACTGGCATGAAGTTTTAGTGCCAGTGGATTTCGTGAGTACTGTTGATGCACAGGATCAAGTGCGTGGTATTTAATATATATACTAAAATAGTATATTTTATATGGAAATCCAAACTCCGTGATTCCTATTTATTGTAATAACATATGAATACGAAACAACAGGGCGTCCATCATTTTTCATTGAAAAATAGTTCATTTTTTTCACTCGTTTACATGTCCCTTAAGTGATATCAGACAAAACTCCTAGCGTTTCACACAGCGAGAGCACGCTGGGTAGTGATCACTGACCACTATTTAATTATTCAGCCCACCGGGACATATCTGGTAATGATTTTGTTTATCGATCTGTTTGGCCTGGTGTAGTGTTGTTATTCTTGCCGTGTGTCGCTGTTAAATCTCCACCATTATAGGATTAATCAACATCCACTTCAATGTATTAAAATTATCAGTCACACCGTGAACATCAAAAACGTCCAACTGGATCAAAAAAAGTGACGTGCGGGGTGATCAGAAATTTGTTCTATTCTGTGAAAAGCTTATGACGTTATTACACCCGAGGGAAGGTATGGGCGATAATGAGAATTAAACGGAAGGAAATTTACTGGCAAACAAGCGTCTTTGCTAATGAGTTATGACAAAAAGTCGTCACTAAATCACAGAACCAAATTTCCCGAATCCGGATCAAATTAATTGTTGAGGAGAACAGTTGAAATGACATTAAAATGAGCAATTTTGTGAAATTCACACTACACTGATACTTAATGAGATCCATGTGTAGCAATCGAAATTAAAACATAATGTTTTGAAGAGTCAATCAATTTTTAAATTACAGAGTTAGATATTGAAATAATGTATTCGTCATTCAAAAGGCCATTAACTGGTACAAATATTTTTTTTCTATTCTGTGTGGAATTTAATGATTTTATCCTCCATGGAAATTAAACATTTTTAATTCTACTCTTGAAACCATTAGCCTTAAGATATTCTCGTGATTGGACAGCTTATCAAAGGCGATAAACCTGTGGATTTTTCACAAGTTTCTTCACAGAAATAAATTTAGAAGATGTTTTGGGGCTGGAAACTGCGTGAAATTCACATTGTTGCGACATAAATGTTCAAAGCATCGCTACATATAGCTCCGGGACACCACTTCGGCGTAAAGACTGCGACATTTTACGGCAAGCAGGGGGTCTTAAGCAGATGGGGAAAGTAATTTTCCAGCACAAAAATAATGAACAGCTCACATTCACATATTTGTACTAGAGCATTCAGTATTTCAGGCATTTACTAATCCCGAAGACCTGCGTTACAAACACATGATTAACAGTGTCATAAAAACGATTGAAATGTACGGACGAGTGGGTCCGGTTACCGATTTATTTCTTAATATGCACTTTACATCACGAGTCACACTGCATATGTTACCTGCAACAAAAGACGACAGAAACGTTGAAATCCAAAAAGCTGTTATTTGATAAGGAAAGATCAACGATTTTAGAAAAATCAAATGTACATAAGATTTTATATAACCGTTGGACTTTATAAACTTTTTTCTGTTTTTTTTTTTTTTTTTGTTAATTGTAAACGTGACGAGTTTATAGTTTGACATAAGAGTTTCGATTGTAAGATGATAATTCGTGTATTCGTGTTTCTGTGTATTCAGTTGAGGGATTCAGGTTTGTTTTCCTTTTTTCCTCCTTTTTCCCGTTGTTTGAACCATGTCAACTTTGAATTTTTCATAACCCTCGATTAAACGCATATGTAACATGTTATTCTTCTGTTTTGTTATTCTGTAAATAATGGTTTTTCGCTTCCGCTTAATTCTACACTGACGATATCACAGAATTAACATGGATTATATCGAATCTGATATCAAACTGGTACAGACTGTTATATCGGGACACAAAATATAGGGAAAGACATCACAAAAACATGGAAGTCAGAAAAATATTTTGTATTTCTTTTTTTTTTTTTTAATTCTAGGAAAGTTAATCTAGTTTTTTTAACCTTATTGTGAACTGTATCACATAGAGGTGAAGGGAAAGTTTTGTTGTGGGCAAAAACCGGGCAAATCCTCAGAGAGATTCCACGTGATCAATCACGTGATCCATCGTTTAACGCCTGATCTTGGAATCGAACCGCGATCGCCTTGTCAAGAAATGAAAGAGCTATCGTCTGTGCCAACCGATCAGAGACATTTTACTTTACAGAACTAAAGATATTTATGACGTTTTGATGATGATTTTTTTTCTGTGTTACTATGTTCATTGTAAACAAATTGTATGTCTATATACCGGGAAAATAAATAAAACACTTTTATATATATCTACCTATTAATATTTGAATCATCCATGTTATGACATCATAGAAAATGTTTTGTGAAAAAAGTGTAGTTTACATAATGAAATTATTACATCTGACTTTCGGAAAAACAAATTAACGCGTTTCCCTCTGGTGCACAACATGTTCAGTGCGCAGTACATTTGCTATAATCACAGCGGCAGACAGGTTGTGTTAGTGAACGTATTAGGTCTAAACATCACTTAACATCAAACAATTCCAAATATCATACCCAACAATTTAGTCTATTTAATTGTCACTTACAATCTTCAAAAGTTTTGTTTTTAATGGATTAAGGCCGAGGACGTGTTTTTTCCTTTCATAAACTATTAGTATAAAATATACAAATGTATATATATATATATATCTTACGTATTTCAAGTCAATGTGAATAAGCGTGTCCATCCCAATACTGTTTATCATTTAGAAGTTCTTACAGTATAACCAGTTAGAAAATATTATTAGAATATATAAGTTGTGATTTAAGAACATGTTACCTACAGAAAATAATCTGTAATATTGTGTATCAATATTGAAAATATTTTTTTTTTAAATACTATTAAAATGAAATACTAGCAATAAGACATGTATATTGAATACACCTATCTACCTGGTGACTCATAAAGCTCTTCTCAAATTTCACCAGCTTTTATTTCAGTTCTCACCAATCCATTATTTTATAACTTTCTGCATTTGTTTCATGAGATTGTTTCCTCCTATTTTTCAATACAATATTGAAATAATAAAAGAATTGTATGAAATGTGAGCTTTGTAAAGTATTCCAAATGATACTTTTTAATTGATTCCTCAAGAGAGAAAAATAATAAGATTTTAAATCTAATTTTTGAATGAAAACAATTATTCAATTATTCAAATGGATTGTTAGTATTGTGAACCGAAAAATCCCGTATTCGGTTTTGCATGACCTAATTTTAGTTGTACGATCTAGTTATATATTTATTTATATTTGTAACTCGTCTGTTAATTGATAATAATAATATCATTTTATCCAATAAATGACTAATAAGAAATATGAAAATGTCGCTGCCCCTGATTTTGAGAATATCGTTTGTTTGTTTGGTTGTTTGTGTGGTTGGCTGGTTGGTTGGTTGGCTGGTTATTTGTGTGGTTGGTTGTTTGTGTAGTTGGCTGGTTGGTTGGTTGGCTGGTTATTTGTGTGGTTGGTTGTTTGTGTAGTTGGCTGGTTGGTTGGTTGGCTGGTTATTTGTGTGGTTGGTTGTTTGTGTAGTTGGCCGGTTGGTTGGTTGGCTGGTTATTTGCTTGGGTTATCTCTCTGCAGACAGCCATGGTTATTGTTTACACTCGTTGTAGCTGGTGGCTACTTTACTGAACAACCTACGGAAGGCCCGTCACAAGAAATACAGATCAATAAGGTCAAAAGGTCTTCACAAGTACACAACCACGACAACGAAACACCGCTTCCTGAAGGAGAGTTTATATATATACCCGAGGTTATACAACGGATACATCAAATTGCGAGAATTTGTTTACGTTGGAAATGATTTAGATATATTCAGATGCTTTAGAGTGACTGATGCTTATCATGAACCAACTAACACTGTAATGATCGCACGAGGAGCATTGTTCTTACTGAACAATTATTATTATTATCGCAGTCTTAACAGCTCGTCAACACATAAAGGGTCATTAGGGCTTACTGAATGAATAAGGTGTTAAAAATATTTTATCTTTCATAAAACCTCTAATATGTAATTAAATGAAGATTAAAATGTCGTATCAAAGAAGTGTTAATGTTCACAGAACAGCAAATAATATTTATTTCAATTATTTATTAGAATAATAATATCTTAAAATACATAACTTTTCATGCAAACACGGGTGCACCAAGTTTTAATGTTTAAATATTTATATCTTCACATTCGTACTCATATACAAATATATCAATCATATGTCCACTTTAAAATCAACTTCAAGCGCCATTATTCCTATAACTTTTCATTAAGGTCATTTACACAATATCAAATAAAGGGTAGATAACTCTGTACGTTAATGCTGTTCAGCCGTCAGAACAACCGCGAGATTTACTTTCCACAGGAGAGTTCACTTTGTCACTTCCGGAGTCGTTTCCTTCTTTCTTTGCGTCCGTACAACTATGAGTCTTTGTGTGTTTGCTCAAATGATCACTGCGCATGAACCGTTTGTTACATATTGGACACGCAAACCTTTTCTCTCCTGTATGCGTGCGCAAATGACGCTGAAGTTCATCAGACCGTGTAAAACGTTTTCCACAGAATAACCAGTTACACACAAAAGGCCTTTCCCCTGTGTGCCAACGCAAGTGTGCTTTTAAATGCGAAGTTTTTCCATATACTTTTCCACATCCGGGAATATGACACGTATGAATGTTTTTCTTCCGTATATGGGCACCAGCTGGTCCTAGTCTCTCAGCCTCTTGACAGTTAGGACAATCACACGTTGCCCTTCCGCTTAAGCGTCTCTGAGCTTTCGTTTGAGGCACATTTGACAAAACCGGACGTGAAAGAAATGGGTTTCCGGACGAGGCACTGATATCTGTTTGACTTGATAACATAGATTTATAAGTGTCTTGCAGGAGTTGTTGGTTTCCCCCTATATACGAACTAGAGGGTGATGCTAGTCCGTGTGAAAGGGGGTATTCAGGAGAGCTATATCCGGAAGAAATCTGAGCTGGCAACGAAGACGAGGCTCCAGAATAGTCCGAGTACCAGTTACTAGGGGGCGTGTGCACGTCCCACCAAGGAGAGGTTGGATTAGAGCTTTGAGGTGTTTCACCCTTAAGACTCGTATGTGTTATGTTCATATTCAGCGACCAAGACTCGTATGCTGCATGGCTGTTGACGTGAGGTAATCGAGAGTATACATTTCCTAATACGGAGGCACTCATACAATCAGAATGATGCACTTTTGACGGATACGTTGGGGAGGGTGTATCATTGTTATATTGAGATGGATGAAGCCAGTCAGCTGATGACGTGGTGGGATAGGATACAACCCCACCAGTACGTCCGTATGGCAGACCCGCGGACGGAAAGGACACCGTCCCGTTGAGTCCAGACAGACGTTGTGATGAGAGAGCGACAGCTTCCGGTGCGGTGACGGCAGTAAGTTGACGCTTCCAAGGATGGAAACCTTTTGCGATGTAAGATTCCGTGAGAGGGGAGGGACATCTATCTGTTAGTTTACTACACTGGGCGGCCAGCATTGCAAGTGGGGCGCCTCCTATGTGCGAATCCTGCAACAAGAAAAGATAATTCAATAAAATAATCAAATGATTATTGAAACCTGTTAAAACTGTCAGGTTTGCTGTCAAGCGGAGAAAACTGACACTAAAAACTTGATAAATTAAAATTCCTGATTCATTAACAACAATGTGTGTTCATTTCAAATGCAGAAAGAGGTAAAAAATAAGAATTCATCAAATTCACTCGCAAGGTCTAATTTGATTAAACAATTTTGAAGTATTTGTAAGTTTACAAAATCATTGATTATATGAATAACTTGCTACGTCCCCGATTATGACCTTAAAGAATTACACAACTTTTCACGTGAAATTAAGAAACCAGATATGACGTATAACATGATGACGTCACAACAAGCATGATAAGCTCAGAGTGAAAACATCGGAGGTAAAGGCTTGAAAATTGCAAGAGAAACATTAATCAAAGTTATCCTTGTTTAATAAACAGCATCTTTCATTTCTTCTGAACTTTATAGCTCTTAAGGAAATTGTTCAAACGAAGGTCGTACAATTTCGCTTTATTAACGTGAAATTCAAATTCAAATACTATCCTATGTAAATGTAGATGTAACTATATCTTTTCTCAGCCAATCGCCTCGTACAGCAACGTTTTTTTCTTGTGTTCCTGTAAAGCTTCGTATGAAATGAAAATTAAGAATTTTGAAATAATATCTGGGAAATCGTATTCCTTATATAAGCTGTTCAGATCATCTTAAGTTCACAGAAGGTGTTATTTCTGAATTGATCCACTCCTGTTTTAGACGTTCTAGCCACGCCCACCTAACACCTAAGGTGACGCCCCCACACACAAACCACGCCCTGCTACACCTCTGAGTTCAATTTTAGGCATTCATTTTTACATAATCGCACTTCTCTGGGTAATCGTAGCCATGCTTAACCTTTTTATGTCTGTAACAAAGCATAGTAATGTCTTCCGTCCCTCTGTCTTACCGTAACTGTGTCCGAATTATAATCATTTAAATTTATTAATAGAAAATAGTGATTGTACAATGTATGTTGAGTTCGACAATTTGCTTTCATCCGATAAAAGAACGAAAATCACGAGTAGTATTATATATAGAGGTCTTAATGCACGTGCTCTAGATCAAAATGTGAACGAAAGATAGGATTTTTTGGAGATATAAAACCAAACATTTTCTAAAATAACTTATTTTAAATCGGAATCATCCGATCGCGATATAACAAGATATTGTACAGATATATAAAGTGAATACACTAACTCGTTTCCATTATATACACTGTAAGTACCATTGCCGTCTTAACAAAACAGACAGGGAAATTGTAAAAATTAGTGATTTGATTGAAATGGGTTATCTACATCATGTGTTCCGTGTTATATAAAAATCTAAGCGACACTGGAGAAAAAATATTTTTTCTGGTAAACGGACCAAAGAAAATTCCAGCTTATTCACCAAACATCAGAATATGTAAATCTGTAATGTATACAGATACAGACACCGACCCGCGAGTTTACGAGTGAGTTGGACCCCCTTGCTGTATCCGGATTCGACTAGACCTGGACCGATCCGGAGAGTATTGTATACTCATGTAAATTACACAGCATTTTCTCAATGGTGGATTGTTAACCTGTGTACTTGTGTGAAATGTTCGGCACTGCAGTATGAAACAAGATTTGGGCGAGTTTAATCGGATTCACAGTCACATCAAAAGATAATTACTCTATCCTAGGAGAGAGTTAAAGAAATATTGAGAAAGACTTTTCAATAAGGATGACACCCCTTTCATCCTATTCTCAACAGAAACAAAATTTGTGCAAGTCAACGAGAAAATCTCCGAGTAGTTGTCAATGAAAAAGTATCGTTATAGTCGCAATAGCGAACCTTCTAAGGCTTGACCTTTAACCTATCTTAGCGTAGATCGGGCACCTTGCTGCGCCGAAGAAAAACTATAAGCAACTGCCGTCTACCGTACAGACCTGCCGTGGTGGTTTATTGTTAAATAGTGAACAAACTCAATATATTTTGTCCCTGAACATTTTTTCAACTCCTTTGGAGTATATTGTACCAGAGAACCCTATACAGAGTTCCGATCGGTACTGAAAGAGGCCCTTTGTTGCTCACGAGCTGTGAAACATGGCTCTGCAAGTGTTTACAAAGCCAGCAGTAAAGAGAAAATTTATCGGTTTTTCAAAAAGGATCTTTTCATTTTAACACCCTAATCCGGGAGGACTTTATATGATAATTCAATTTCATATGAATTAGGAAACATATTTGATATTCCATTGAGAGACCGCATGTCCCCAATAACAAAATCATATTGCGGTCATATTAGTAAATTATTGATACTAGTCGCGCTGTGTATTGTTAAGATATTGTATTTAAACATCCTTAGTCACGGATATAAATTGGGAATCTAGCTATGTTTTCTCTGGCTTAAAAATTGGTCACATTTTCTCGGAATAACAAGAATTATACAATATAAAAAAAAATCAAAAATAATTTCCTGAAATGGTTGAGCTTATGTATAATCAATTGAAAAATAAGTACAAAATATCATTAGATTTGGAATTTTGTTTCTGCTGTAATTAAATAAAATCCTCCTATTTTTTCTTGAAATGTCATTTTTTCGTCATTTTCTTTGCAGTATAAAAATGATTTACATTTAAATTGACAGCACTCTCATAATGTTTAGAGTCTTGTTTGTTAATTCAGATGTCTTTAAATGCCATTGGAAAATTTAGAAAATGTTTTTTATCAGTAATCAAAGAAATAAATTGATATAATTAAATCTTAATTATAATGTAGCACGGACTGTTTTACTTTTCAGTAATGTATGAAGACGTGCCTGACTTTGCAGTCTATGAACGAGAACTACCATTAGAGAGATCTTGACAGCTTATCAGCTACGGGTGCAATCGAGCACTTACACCAGGAAACGTGATCCCAACGAGCAACAGAATTTAACTCCGGAACAAGAGAGTTCTTATCGGGACAATTTTCGTCGTCGTCTGATTAGGAATTAAATTATATCGGTTGTATTTGACCTTTGACATCTCAGCACGTTTAACATCATCCGTTTTTATAGTCACTGTCAAGTGTAATAGCGACTGATAGCCCCAAACCGAGTCGGTCACATCGGCGCAGGGCGATGATAAATCCCAGAACCAACGCATAGTCATTGATACGATCATTCCGGAAAAGCAAAAATGGTCATCGTTGTCAGCAATTACGCTACTTTTAGTTATGACTGTAATAAATTTCAACAGAAAGAAGATATAAAGTGTTAAGAAAGATGATTCCCAAAAATGCTGATAATTTATAAAAGGTTGTTTTAGACTCAAGTGTAAGCTACAACGCATTTCTTATACATAAATTATTCCGATTAGTAAAAGGTCATCAGGTGCAAAACAAAACGAATATTACATCACTCTTCCATATGTGTTTTCGCAATCATGTTGGGTATGTTTCTTTATCGCTTTCTCTTTTGATGTTGAGAGAGAAATGATAACTAACGATATTAATTTCCGAGAAATGAATCTGTATGAATATATCATATTATATGTGACATTTTCGTTTTAGTACATAACCTGGGTACACTCATACAGAAATATTTGTCATTACTTTTTTAGTTTTTTTTTTCATAATAAATCCTTTTATTTCCTTTGAAGTGTATCAACCTCGAGGAATTGAGCGTTTTCCTTAAAATAGGTGTTACCATACCTCAGACGAGAAAAAAAAGTAATCTATTTGTGATTTATCATTCTTGGACTGATAAAACCCAAATCTTGTAAAACCCTTCCTTCGGGAAAGAAAAGTTGGTCGCCACACGTGAATCGCATGCGCCTAAGGCGGAAGTGTAATTCAGCAGAAAATGAAGTCTCGCACTGGGCGTGAATTGGAGATAAATAACAATGGCGGACGATTGTAAGCCCGCGGGATGGTTTTCTATCGATCAGATATCAGCACATCGATACAGGAACACATGAGCTGACGAGAATTAATTATACATATACTCAAACAGGTGTAACTTAATTGTGCAAAATGTAAACACAGACAAACACAGGTGGTCCCAATAAAGATGATATCGGGGATTAGGGACCCGTAAGCATGTTTGTTGTTGAAGTGGTGAATCTTAAAACAAATTCGACAAACTACAGTGCTCCTAATTTCTTAATTTGAGCTGATCTTCAGGTGCTTTAATGTAATTATAGACAAATTATTAGTGTTTTCTGATCAAAGAAAGTGTTAGTCACTTCTGATCCTTTACACAATATATTCCTTTTATACCAAACACGTAATTCGTAGGCTTTATATTTTGTTTGGATATGCTGTTGCGCAAGTGTTTTCAATATTGTGAAAGCTTGAAAGCAAAGACGATCAGCATATTTATGAAATAACGTCTTATAATAGAATAGCTGAATCAGAGATATTTTTTTCGATAGAATCAAATATGTTTATTTTCATACGTTTTACAAATGAATAAGCACCTAAAATAGAATTAAAATATGTCGAAAAGATGACTTGAAATAGAGAGACGTATAACCAATGTTCCATTGGATTAATAATGCTTTCCAAAAATTTCAAATGCACTTTTAAAAAAATAAAAAAATAAAAGACACGTAAAATATCACAGAGGTTTCACATTATATACATAATACATATATATAATGTGTGTGTGTGTGTGATCTAGAGAGAAGTGTCGACAGTATGGACCGATATTGATACTGGACCCTAAAAAAATTATCATGGGCGCCGATAAGGCACAAAAGCCATCCTAAGTTGCTGTATGGAAGATGGTGATTAAAATATCAAAAATGTTTTACATCAATCTCGGTGTGTTAACAAATTAAAACAACTTTTTACCCAAGGAATATTCATCAGATGAATATCTTAATGTCTTGATCTACATTTTGTAATTGTCTATAAAATACGAATAGTCAATATTATTCTTGAAACTGTGTGCTTCAGAAATTTCTTTCGAAGTGATAATAATAAATTAATGCGTTGGCGATATGAAAGGTGTTGTAGTTATGTGGGCGAAAAAGTTTTTTGTTGATCGTGGCTGGCAAATTAAACATTACCAAATCAATTTAAACTAAGAAATATTTAAAAACAGCGAAGTCTTTTTTTAGAGGACACGAAAAAAACTTTTTATAGGGTGTCGCTGTCACGTGAGCTGAATGACACCCCCAACTCACCCTCTGATTCACCACTGTGGATTTACACGGAAGTGTTTTTTTTATAATAATCATAGAGAGATCACGCTCTTCCTTCTAAATCAATATTTTATGTAATTAAGACAATCTGTGCGCGCTATATTCTTGAAGTCAGTTATTGTACCCAAGCTGTGGGTTTCTAATCAATTTATAATAGTCTTCCATTTTACATAATTGTGTTGTCGAAGCAACTTGCTAAATTTACTTAAACAATTGTAAATAACGCAGTGTTAGCATTTGTTCCTTTTCCATTTTGCATGAAAATGTATCTCTAAGCGTTACACATTCTTAAGATGCATGGACATTTACTTTTAGGGGGAAATGTAATACTTCATTATGGAGACATTGGTATCAAACCTTTCAACTTTTGGGTATTAAAGCTTAAATGTATTAACGTACCAATAAGGAGAGTTTTATACCATGAATATCAATGAAAAATAACCATTATAGTGTATTTTCCATAGGTAAAACTTAATCCAATTTGGGTAAAATTTAATATACAAAAATGTTTCGAAAAATGAAGAAGTAGATATTACAGACCTTTATAAAAGATCTCAAATAGTTTTACACCTTATCAGTTCTACCTGGACAGGTTAAGTTACCTGTGGAATACTTGTAGGTGACACACCTGTCATTCTGATGAATCTGTTCACAATTTACATGAAAGGAGGTAGCTCGTAACTCACAGGTATGTTGAACAGGTGCGCGTACATTTGATATGCTTCAGTATTGTACATCTCCCACCAAGCAGCCTGTGTTAATGTCTATAAATGATTCATACCTTTGCAGAAATCATTCCTTCTCGTGATGTGTTTCTAAAGAAAGCTAGATTAAATGAATATTTGTATTTGTGTAGAATACATCCCGAATGATGAACTTCACACTCGAGAAATAAAAATGTTTCAATGGCGAATTGAAATAGGTTAATTTACAAGATCTTGTATTTCACCGCTTACTCATAGCTCATAACTCACAATTTTTCTGTTCTTTGACACTATAAAACAGTTTCTGTTCTATTGTCAGAATTCTTACATCTAGGCATTATTTCTGGGCCTAATCATTATTTAAATGTGTTAAAATTCCAGGAGAAAAAAACCCTTAATACAAATAAGTAGAAGAAAAAAACTTCATCCTTGTCCTACAACGTTCATGCTGACTCCAAATTGAAACGCAATAATGGTTCTGTGTAAAATAAGCATAGTTTTTGGACTGAAGATTATAATAAAAATATTTTAAAATGTGTATTTTAATAATATTTTGTTATTTCTAAAATACTTCCGAAATATCCTTTGATTTTTCAAAGTACGATACACAGAATTTTCGTGTCAAGAATAATTTCTAGGTTAAGACTTAAAACAGATACTATATTCAAAATTACTTCTCTGATAAACTTCTCAAAACCTGAACGGAACGAAAAAAGATGATATGTCCTTTTTTAAAGTTTACAAGTTTTTTAATCTGCCTTTTAATCATTGACGTTTTAAGTTTTTTTTTGTAGGCTACCATCATTTAGAATGTTTTATGAGTTTAACTGTTTCTCTTTAAGATAAATTATATTTGATTAACAGGAAGGACCGTTTTAGGGCAGAAGAACTGGGTGTGTGTGGTAGTCTAATCTACCTCACTATTTTTACACCACCTTAGACTTCAAAACAACAAAGGACATCAAAGGATTAAAGTCTGTAGGGATCAAACTTGAATGACAATTTTAAAGAAAAAAATATACAACTTCTAAACTTTGAACTGCTTAGAAAATTGATTTTGACTAAATAGGGCATTTTGGTTTGTCTCACAAAGGAAAGCGGAGAAGTTGGGCCGACCACACTATCACCTCCAACAATAGCGGACCTAATTAGGGGAGCTCCCCTCGATAACCTCAGGGGCGTAATTTTAGATCGGCGTAAAGGATAGAGAGAGGTAGGGTGCACAACAGGGCTATAGAGTTCATCACCCCGTCCACGACAGGTAAAAATACAGGTGAATAGTTAGGGTGCGGAGAAAAAAACCTTGAATTGACGATGTCCAAATTAGTCATCTGAATTATTAAAATGTTTGACGAAAAGTGTTTACATTGCAGTTTAACAAAATGAAGTTTTGTAGTTTTTAACGTGATTGAACAAGATTTTGAAAGATTTATCAGGAAAGAGATACTATGTAAATAAGATGTTTATCTACATATATGATGGTATTCCAATCTAACATTACATGTAGGTACGGACCCGGGTTCCTCCTCATTACACATTGGCAGTGTTTAAAATAGTTCTCAAATGAAACATTAACGCTGTATAACAACCACTGATCTCGTCCTAACAACATATTTTTATAGATATTAGGCAATTTACAATCTTGTCAAATTTCTCAACAGTTAAGCTGTTAATTAATCAAGTTTAATCAATATTTCTTAATAGGCTATATCATACTCTTGTGTGAAAAATACATAATTTTATATGAGATTTCAAATAAACATGTAAATGTTTGCTTTCAAGAAAATCTCTCGGTGTCAAGAAAACTATTCACATTAAGCATGGCATGCTTTAGATGAACACCGTATACTGAAGTCAAATATGTTTCGTCGTTATTCGGGCAATGTTGGTGCCCGTAAGATCAGTAGCTATGAGCAGGTGTAACTTTGTAAGCCTTTTCTCCTTTTGAACCCCACTTCAAACCCAAGAAAATATTCTAGTGACTTTGAATACGGAACGCTAAAAATTGTTTACATATACTTTCTATATAAACATCTATTAATCTTGGATCCCAAACGAATAGTTCTCAAAATACACACATACAGTGAACATGTGTGACTTAAGTTTGGGCTTGTAAATACGTGATACTACAATAGTGTAATCATTGAGCAAAAGCATTCATGAAAATCCTCGAATAATTATTTTAACAGAACATGGCAAAAATCAATAAGTATGTGAAGTTTTAATAATCAACTACATATGTGATATAGATTTCATGATATTTCGAGCCGGCAGTTACAGTCAGTGTTTTACCGGGGTGACGAATCTTTTCACAAACAACGTAACAGAGAGTTCGGAATTTTCTTTAAAGATTTATGATGCACGATAATATCTTCATATATTAAAGACAAAACCATCATTCTTTCTTTCAGTGATTTTTATATGAATCCTGAGTGTTTATCAAAAAAAAAACAGTAATGTTTATTACATACCATGCAGTCTACAATAAGTCAACTTATACATTACGACAAGAATTTTTCCCGTGCACGGCGGAGCCATGACCTTAAACATACGAATTGACAAACTTATTTCTCACGAAGATGTTACATTCATTTGCCTAAAACTTATAAATTCCGGAAAGTAACATAACGGTTAACTTGTGTAAACTGGTTTTAAAGTTTTTTTCTGGTGTACGGGTTAATTTTTCGTGACATTGCAAAAGTGTTTACGTTGCTACTCTAAGGCCGTCCATAGTACGAACTATCACGGAAAGGGGATTCTTATAATTATCAAAAAATTGTAATCAAAGTCATCGATCTTTTGGCAAAGTCGTTGTGAAAACATTGAGATATGACATTTGATTAAAATAATCGAATAAATCGATCTAAAATGGAATAGCACAGGCATGGCTATTATTATCTGAATCCATACTTAACAGTTCTAAGCACGTGAATAACGGGAAATCAAGTGCTTACGTCAATTAACATAATTAACTCATCATCCTACCTCCCAACAACCGGACGCTCTACGACGTTCAACATTCATATTTATATCTACAAAGATAGTTTTGGAGGGATGGTGTAACCCAGGACTTCAATCTCTTAGTTCTACCGAAGAGCAGTTTAATTAGATCTTAAATGTGGGGAGTTTTAGAATGTACCGACCAAAAATCCAAAACGGAATTTGGCCATTTATTATGTATTTGGTGACTGAGTCATTAGCTTGTTTACAAAATTTTAAAGATCGAAACCGGGTTGATACATTTCTGTACGGTGTCGTCCGGAACTGTTTTCTGTAAGAGTCATCATGTATTATTTGTATTTTGGTCTTATTTCAGAAAAAATATTTTAAAAAATGGAGTACTTACCCCGATGACGGAGGCTGCCATGTTGTTTTAGTTGTGAGTACCTCTGTTGAGTACACACCTCTCCACTCAAACTGTCTTGTAACACGCGGCCAGAGTGTCCCACAACCAGCTAAGGCATACATTAAAATCGCCCCCGATCCGCCTCCGATCGTCCCGTCTATTGTCCCGTTTATTAATCTAACCATCCTATCACCGGCACGCTTCAAGCCGCATGCAATGATTGACTTCTTAAGGCGATGGGGCAACGCCCCCTCCTCCTGATAACCTTTGATTGCGCTGATACAGACCGGCTGCTAGTTTGTGCATGGTGAAGAGGAGTTTACATAAAAATGAAAACTTAGACTTTAGTAGTGTATAAAATGACTTTAAATTTGTTAATTGACAGACAGTCTTGAAGGCTTTTCGTCAAATGGTACGATACTGTGGTATAGTAATGTGTTCATTAAGCGCTATTATCTCAACAAGTTTTGGAAAGTTAGCATATATTTAAATTTAAGAAAAAGTAATTATTTGCATAAATATTAACACATGTGTAAGTTTTATATATTTTTTTCCACTTCATAAAATGAAATTTTGGCGAAAATTGATACTTAAGAAAAGTTTTCGTTTGGTGTATAAATAACTAGAACATGCAGTGCGTAGTTATATGTTGTTTTTATTAAATAAAATGAAATATACGGACGGGAGACAAAACACGAGTTTCTCTTTCATGTGGATAAATACCGTAATACAGTTAATTAATTCCCCTCGCTCGCATCATATTCCAGATGATTTGAGTTACCCGACAGGAGTAAATGGATGGAAAATTATGCAAGTTTCTTTTATGTTTAAACATCTGCGTAATAGAGGCATTAGGTAAGAAGCTAAACATATAGAAGTCCTGTGGTAACGCAAATCAACGAGTCCCTCCTCTCAAATAGTTCCCATCCTCTATTCAAACACCCACTGAAATCATGAAAATTATTTAATGAAATTCTTTTGCTTTTTATGATACGTGCAACTAGAGTTTTTCTATATGGTTTCATATTGGAATAAAGTTATTACTTCTTAACCCAATTCTTAACAATAAAATACATTAAGCAATCGTATGTTTTCACTTTGTTTTAATGCAGCAGCTCATGGATGTGTACTCATTACTTTTTTTCTACATTTCATTTATTGTGAGACAAAGTGTTTACGAAATTCGCGTGTTAAAATTTGTAGGAATTTTTGAGAATACGTCATAAAAAGATTAAAATTCCTGACAATAAAACCTTTTTTGTTTGTTCACGATCAAAGAATATTTATGTCCCTTTCATTGAAGGTAATATTTTCTTTAAATTATTAAACATGTAAACATTTATAATTAGTAACCCGATACAAGGCTAAATACTTACAATGACTCAATTTTGAATTCTTTCTTTATAATCAGTAAAAGAAAAGACCGCGGTTATATCGCTGTAGTTATTGACTTGTTATCATTTTCGGTCCATGTTTCTTGGATGAAAAAATACAGACAACAACCTGCACACAAGTCAGTAGATGTATATTTTTGGCAGTTTTGTAAACTCGAAAATACTGCCATGAGGTTGAGAACTTTGAATAACAGAAAAGTAAAATAAATAAATGGTCTCGAGGGCTATTTATTGAACAACTTATGCAACACATGGTACAATGTGTGAGACGGAATTACAAACGTTCACACCAATCGGGATGACTATTCAAGTCCATCAAACACCTTTTAGATAACTTATGATTAAGTTATAGAAAATTATGTAAATTCTTCTTTTTAATAAGTTTTTGCTGCCTCTGTTCTCGCGTCCTTTCCGTGTTCCAATTTTACATTACGTTCTCAGACCCAATCCATGAAATATCATAAACAATAAAAATAATGGATCATATTTGGTTAGAAAATACGTTGAAAGCTAAATTCCGCCTTATGATATAAGTTACATGAAGTAATTCAATTCGATACAATTTTGTTTCTCCGCTGAGGAAGCCAGTTTATTCAGTTACTTTTCCGACGTCGTCAACATTTCAATTTTTAAAAAAATCACAGTTAGATCCCTCGTTCAATTTAGCCAAACTTGCTATGAAGATAGACCACTAAACGAACACCTCGACATATACAGTGTATATTATTTATAAAATATATATTCCAGATTTTACGGTCCAGTAAATCTGAAAATGAAGGATACTGAGAACCTCGACTTTTTCGGCGTTTATCTCAGTGCCTCATTAAGTGCAAGAGCTATTTCAATAAAAAAAAAATTTGAAGTTTACTTACATTTGAAGTATTGACAACTGAATTCAGCAAATAGATCACTGCGCATGAATTGTGTTTTATTTGTATGAGTTTTTGTGCATTTTAAGCCTAAAAATCTTCAGATTTTGATAAACAGCAACGAGATTTGTTCTGTTCGTTTCACATTAAGTTTGCAGTGATATCGAGACACGTACTGTAAAATATAAGACAGGGTTTCCTCTCCCTCGTTGGTAAAAGTGTGATTGCGAGGGTAAAAATGTCATATTTAAGTGGTTTTTGAGAATTAAGATATTTACAAACTTTTCATGTATTACGACACATATTTAAACATTACAACAGTATATAAATTGTGTTTATACATTTTTGATTATAATATACTTTAATTCTTATTCTCTTTCATTTTTAGCGTCTCTAACATTTGACCACTACTAATAAACAGGACAGGTCAGACATATAGGTAATTCTAGTGCATAAATTACAACCAAAAAACATATTTACATTTTTCAAAGTGGTTACCAAAGATGAGTTCAAAGTTCAAATACCACTGTTATAGTTTTTAATGTTGGATCTATTTAGAATATAAATTTATTCGACCGATATAATTCTTTATTGAAGTTCACTCCTCAGCCTTAAGTTATCATACACAGTGATACATTGAATTGATTCGTTGACTATAAAGGCCCTTTATCCTTCTGGAACCTCTGGTCTGACTCCACTGATACGTTTCAGCGATTTCCGTGTAAATCTTTCTTTTGTACATATTTTGCCCTGGCTTTAGCACATTCATATAGGTCAACATTTTCGTTTTTTTTCTTTTGTTTTTGTTTATTTTCTATTTGGCTGACCATGGTATTTCAATACCCCTGTGAAATAATTAAACAAATAATAAAGGTTTAAAATACAAAAAAATAAATTTAAATATGATACCAAATTCTAGTTAAAGCATTAAGCTCTCTGAGTATATTACACAATTAATTCTTAATGGCTATGACAGTATTACTACAACGAAGTATTATGACTGGCCTCAGTGGTGGCTGTGCAAAGGCAAGACACTTGGTGGCTGACTTCAGTGGTGATTGTTCAAAGGCAAGACACTTGGTGGCTGACTTCAGTGGTGATTGTTCAAAGACAAGACACTTGGTGTCTGACTTCAGTGGTGATTGTTCAAAGACAAGACACTTGGTGGCTGATTTCAGTGGTGATTGTTCAAAGACAAGACACTTGATGGCTGACTTCAGTGGTTCAAAGCAAAGAAACTGAACTCAGTGGTCAAGAAACTTGGTGGCTGAACTCAGTGGTCAAGAAACTTGGTGGCTGAACTCAGTGGTCAAGAAACTTGGTGGCTGAACTCAGTGGTCAAGAAACTAGGTGGCTGACCAATAATGGCAAAGGTGCTTTGATGGTTGTATTTCTTACTAGTTTTTTATGAAAGTTGAATGCCAGACTGCCTCTTCCTCGCCCAATTTCGATTCAGAATTTCTCTACACTTCAAGATAGTACAAAAGTTACTCAAATGAATGGCACCATTTGATACAAAATTGGAAACAATTAATTAAACTGTGTCATACAGCAGTTGCCAAGAGCCAAAATGTTAAACCTAAGTGGCGACTGAAGGAATTCCAAAGTGATCTAAACAAATATTAAAGTGAAATGATGGGGGGCACTAGCCCCATAGATCAGTAGATTTTCACATATCTGATAATTTTAGAAGAACCTCACGTTATTCTGACACGTTACCCATTCGAAAGAATTAAAACGTGGCGATGCAAGCTTCGTCAAACATCGGGGACTACAGTCAACCAGCTGCAATTTCGAAGATTGTGCAAAAGATCCATAAATGAATAGCACATTCGACATAAATTTCGATAAAAGTATATTTGCTTAGAAACACGAGGCAGTTTTGATATCAGTAAAAATGTCCAAAACAGAGATTTAAGCAGGAATAACTCTAATCTCCACCTATCCAAATAGTATAGAGTAATATGTCTTGAAAAGATGACGGCTGAAACGAAATCGACAACGAAAAATTAGCATTTTTGCTACTTCGGTATTGGTCATCTACCTCTTTCGGATAGTCTTGCTGGTTTTTCTTTACTTGGTGACATTCGAACCTTAAACATTTCTTAGAAGTGTTGCCTTCAAAATCTTTTCTCCTGTCTGTAGCGTTATGACATCGGGAGATTCAACGAGTTTTCAGTGCTTGTTAGAAATGTTTTCCTACACGATCGGTATAACCTGTTGACTGAGTGAGTTATGAGCATTCGTCCTTAGGTCCAACGTGACAAGACCAATCCTGCTTGCATTACTCTTGTTATCTATCACGCTTTGGTTTCTCGGTTGGTAGATGCTTTCTCCTATTCCAGGCGATCCTGGCTCTCTCCGTGAGAGAGAGCATTACTTATGCTAGCCACTACCATCAACTACATACACTCTTTTAGATATTCCATTTGGTTCACTTTCTTTTTTAAGGTTTTTCAAGATCAGACTGGTCCTTCCAGTTTTGAAACGCCATTGGATCCTCGTTGCCATCAGGTTACATCGTGGATGCTGACAAATGGTTTCAACGGAATTGTGTAAAAAGACAGCGGATGTTTGTATGGTCAAACGCCCAGGTTGTGTTCCAAGTTTTATTCGTTTTTTCTTGTATTTCCTGAAAAGGTATAATTCCTCTCTTCTAAATTGCAGCTGAAACATATATGCTTTCTACAATAAAGATAGTTGTTAAATGCAGGTTCGTATCTATATTTTCATATTTATTTCAGACAACTTTTTTCTA